TATATCTGAAAGATAAAGAGATGTGGGGTGTGTAACCCAGAAATGCAGGACATGTTAAAAGTAAATGATACAAAGTTTTAGGGATTAGGTCTTGGAGAAATGCCACCTGTCTACTTCCAAAGCTTAGATTAAAAGTTAATGGATTTTCAAATGGATTATTTCGCCATCTACAAACTTATAACCAAATGTAATGATGACCTTACACTATGGGTAAGTGCAAGAGAGTCATCTTTGCTATTTGGTCATTCATGTTCCCATAATTGGCAGGAAATATGATTCTCCACCTGACAAGTAAAGAGAACCCTTTGAGAAACACGAGAGGTGTCACTATTATCATCATTGCATATTATATAATTGCTGGCACCCAGCAGTTATATAAAATAGCAGACAGTTGAGCTTCAGCAGATCCTCTAAATTTTCTAATTATACGGATCAGAATATCTATCTGGAAAGTGGAATTCTATGTCTAAAATCACCCCTGAACTCTACAGTAGGTTGGTTTTCTTTATTGGCTTTTTTAGGGAGAGCAAAATGTTCCATTTATTTCCTTGTGTATAATTAAACATAGAGTAGAACAACAAATTGAGTTACTGGAGGCAGTGTACTCAAGTCCTATGCCTCATAATGCTATTTCAACAAAAGTATAAATCTCCATGGTGATTCATTTACTCTTCCAAATTATCCTATGAGATATTTTCCCAGGACTTTTAACATTAAAATGTACTAGGTCAAAGTGCTTAGCTATTGTACAATATAATAAGATTTTAAATTATGATAAATATTCTCATTTCCCCACAATAAATATTTTAAAGTACTACATATTTTTTAAATTATGTACTTGTACAATATTGTACACTTGGCCCCAGTGCTGTGGTTTTAAATTATCTAGAATTGGGGGTAATATTGCCAAATAGAGCTGTTTCTAATTCTAACTCACTCTGTAATAGATACTTCAGGAGCACTAAGTATGTGATAGGTGAAAGAAAACCGATATTCCTCATCACAAACATTGTGTATTTGCTATTGAGGAGAGAGATGCTGGGCAGGTTAGCACCCCTGTAACTATTAAAAAATTTTAAATTTATCACTTTTTTAAAGCTACTATTTATGTAGCTAAAATCAGACAAAAATTATGAAACCATTTCAGATATTCTGTAATATTAGCCAAAAACTTAATTTTTCATCAACATGAGAAATATAATCATATTGCTCTGCCCAAATACTTATGAGTTACATTTCTCTCAAATATTTTAAACTATAGACTTGCTTGTTTTTGTTCTCCTCTCTTCTTCTACTGTCAGAAACTTTGCCTTCAAAGTGCATGTTTCTTTTTATTCTTTTGGCAAATCTATGATTCTAACATCTTAAACATATTAACTTCTTGGGTCAACAAAAAATTTTCTCCAGTACAATTAATCTCAGTAATATGATAATGATATTTCAGTAGAAACCATCTGCAATTTAAAGTATTATTGCCAAGAGCAGAAAATAGGCACATTAATTTGTAACATACAATAAAGACCTTTCTCAGCTTCATTTCCTTGGAAGACGCTTTTTGGGGGCAATACTTTAAAAACCCAACACAATGCAGCAGAACTATCCAAAGTTCTCATGGAAACAAAAGGTACCAGAGGAAGTGCATGAGCAAGGTAAGAGATGGTGCAGCACGCCAGGCCCTCAGGAGCTGAGTGAGTGCTCCCAGCAGCAAGGCTGCCAGGCCAGTTTGCTTCCCTGGCAGGCAGAAGGGCCTTCCAGCATTGATATAAAAATGGGAAGACAAAAATGAGGGACAGAAAAGGGAAGAGGTTGTATTAACACACAGGGAAAAGAACTGAGACGGAACATGGACTAACAAATGGTTCGTGTCAGTCAGACTAATTCTTAGCAACTAAAACTTCTTAACTTCTTAATTTCTACTTCAGACTATGACACCCATAGCTACGTGGCTAGTGATTTCAAATTCATTCTAATACTGGAAAGAAGGAAGCATAAAGCATCACTGAAACTATTGACCTGAGTTTGCTATTATTTATTATAGACACACATGTAATTATTGTGAAAATACAATGTACCGCTGCTTAAATTTCCCTGTCTTACTTATGATCACATAACCAATGGTCTCCATATTTACTCTCAATCACCTCTACCTCAAGTTCATGGTGTTGAGTTCCCATTAGTATAGTTGCATTAACTTGCCAGACTATATTAATTTAAAATATCTATAAAAAAATAAAAGATAAACCACTCTAAAATTAGATTACAAAAGAAGTTATAACTAACCTAACTGGATAGCCAACAAAGATCCATTTTCCGTGAATATTTTTAGTTAGAATTGAAGCAGACTTTGAAAAATTCTAGTTTTAAATTTACCATTTGCATTTGGGAATGGTGATTATGCTAAGGAAAACAATGTGGTAATGGGGGAATAAGGAAGAGAGAGAGAAAGTTCTAAGAGCTGTGACTTGCATTAGTGAACTGGTCATCAGTAATGTTTATATATGACTGCTGAAATATTTTAAAAAATCAAAGCTCCTTCAAAAATACATTGTATGTGCAGTTGTTTAAATGTTGTATAAGAAAATCTTGTTCAATGATACTTTGTATTTCAATAAATTATACTCTCCAGCTCAGTAAACAGAAAAAAAAAAATTCTAAACTCTATGAGTCAGATAAAATGAACTTTAGGGAAAACATTTTGTAAATATGTTAATAAAATTTTGGTATAACATTGGTGACACCAGTCAAAATCAAATACTATATTGTTTTATTTATTTTTGTTTATAACTTTTCTGTCATTTGTAGGGATTTGAGTAATAGTGGAAAACTGCAATTTCTTGGTCTTCCATTTGAACCTAAGATCTATAAACCACTAACCACTTAAAAAGAAGTTTTTAAAAAAAATCTGTATTGATAATTCTTTATATTATTTAAAAAATACCAGTTTTTGAATACACCAAACATCAAAAATATAATTAAGCCTGTGTCATAAAATATAAAGTGGATATACAAATGAATTGTGTGAAGTAGCCTTAGAGGACAATATTAAAACCTGCTCCCTCAGTTCTTATTTTAAACTTCTTAGATTAATAGTTGTTGAAACCTTTCAGGTTTTCTTCACCTTTCTTCTCCAACCTATTACGTCCTTTCTCCCCAGCGAAGTTCTGCATTTTTATACAATGACAGTCAACATAAATGATATATGATTATAAATAAATTGATTCCATAAGCAGCACATGGAAATCATACCTACATACCATAGGACATTATGTTTGAGACAGATGGCTTTTTGAGGCCTGGTCTCCTCTGGGATAGTAGAGACAGTTGGATTAGAATTCTGGATGTTTAAAAAGCACACACATACAAATAGACTATGGCTTTAATGGAGGAAAGAGTACATGGGTTCTTTACTGTCTCACATGATGATTCTCCTGACCATGTGTCTTTTGTCAACAGGGATTACTTATATTTAAAAGGATTTTTAAGATGCAAGATTCATCAGCATGATGCAAGAAGATAAAATGCTTTCATGTTTCAATGGGTGACTTTCATGTTTAACAAGCTGTTTTAAAAAGATACAATCGGGCTTGGTTTATTGCTTAATCAATGAACTAAAATGAAAGAAGTAGAGAGTTCTGACTTGTGTCTTCCCTAGGATATCCTAGGGAAGAGTAAGACTAGATTAAGCCTTAATGACTTAATAATGACTAGAGTAAGCCATTTGTGTTACTGTAGAAAAAGTTGTGTTGAGGCTTTTTCTCTGAGGAGGAATACCGAGAAACCAGGTCTACTAAGAAAAGATGGACAATGGCAGCTGCTGAGAAGGGTGGGGCACCAAGAAGCTGTGAGGACTCAAAGTATTGAACGCAGAAATCAGTGCCAATAGCTTTTTTCCCCAAGAACCATTTTAGGATGAGTTACATGTTATATAAAACAATGACTGACAATAGTTAAAACTCCTAAATAAATTCTATTCTAAATAACTTATTCTTCAACAGTTCTGTTAGTATCAGTAATTGATATGCAACAATTTAGTAAAAATTATTTGTATTTTTATTTGGTAAATAGAAGTTATTTTAAAATTAAGAAATTTTATTATAATGTTTATATTAGTAAACACGCAGTGTGCTGCAGTAGGGAAAAAAATCACAAAATACTTTGGAGTAACATTATCAGGACATGTGTAAAATGTAGGAAGAAAGGGAAGTACAGAAGATAACATAAATAGATGGAGATAATTAACGTTTCCCAAATAAGAGGACTGAGCCTACAAAGTGGTTAATTTCACCCAAAGCAATCTGTGCAATTAATATATTCTTGGTCAAAATAGCAATGGGATTTATGGGGTTTTTTTTTTTAAGGTTTAGTGATGTTTAAGATTAAATTTTAAAACTATTGAAAAGTCAGAATAATGAGGAATTAATAATGTTACCGAGTATTACAAAACGGTATAAAGTCATAATAACAAGTTAGTGTGGTTCTGAGAGAGGAAAAGACAAATAAGTAAATGAAACAAACAATGGTTCAGAAGTGTTCATGTGGGAGATGCAACAATAGAAACCAATGGGGAAACATAAACAATGATTCTGCAACCAAATATAAGCTAGGTGGAAAAAACTTTAGATATTCACCTCATATATTAAACAAAATTAAATTTTCAATGAATTAAACTGCTAATTCAAAAAATCAAAATACTTGTATAAAAAATATATAGACTAGTATTTATCTCTCCATGAGAAATAATTCCAAGCTTAAAAGAGTAAAAGAAAAATAAAGGAAGATGCAACTTGGTTAACTACATAACAATAAAAGATATTCGTATGGAAAAACATAATATAGAAAATCAAGAGTAACATAAAACTGAAGAAATATAAAAGGGTAAAAGTTTTCTATAAATAATGAAGCATAGAAATGCAAAAAAAAATCAATGAATAGTTTAAACTACCAATGGATTAGAAACTATCAGAAGAAAAAAACGTTAATTTCTTTATAAAATGCAAATATTATTGAGATATCATTCATTTAACTGTAAAGTTAGCAAAGATTTAAAAGTGTAATACAGAGTATAAAATGAAAAAGGTATACTGTTCAGAATAAAATGGAAAAATTTGTGGGAGGAAACAGTTTGACAACCTGCTTCAAGAGCCTTAGAAATACCTTTATCTTCTCATCACCATTTTATTTCTAATAATAAGAAAATAATCATATTTAAACAAAGATTTATGCACACAGATGTTTGGTGTAGCATTAGTTACACTAGTGAACAAACAGATACAATATGTATGCCTATTAGTGAAATGTATAAATTGTTATAAAGTAGAAAATTTGCTCCAATTATAACTAGAACCATAAAAACACAAATAATTACATGAAAAGTGTTTACGACACAGTGAAGGGCCCTTGTGACTGGGCCTCATGCCAAACAACTTGTTACAAAAAAAGTTAGGGTCCCAGACCATGCCACAGCTTCACGAGACCTCTCCTCATCTGTGCATGGATGGGTAGCCAACTCTGGAGCCCAGGCTGTTGCTTCCCAGTCTGGTGGTGAATCCCCTCCATAGTATGGTGAGTGTAGCGTCCAACTCTGGAGGCCAGGCTGTTGTTGCTTCCCAGTCTGGTGGTGAATCCCCTCCATAGTATGGTGAGTGTAGCGTCCAACTCTGGAGCCCAGGCTGTTGCTTCCCAGCCTGGTGGTGAATCCCCTCCATAGTATGGTGAGTGTAGTGTCCAACTCTGGAGGCCAGGGTGTTGTTACTTCTGACTCTTGAGCCCAGACTGTTGCTTCCCAGTCTGGTGGTGAATCCTCCACAATCTGGTGAGTATGATGTCCGACTCGGGAGCCCAGGCTGTTGCTTCCCAGTCTGGTGGTGAATCCTCCATAGTCTGCTGAGTGTAAATATATACATATATATACATCTTTTCCTTCTCCCCTTCCCATTGCAATTTGCTTATTATATCAATCTGCCTATTATATCAATTTGCTTATTATATCATTTGCTTATTATATCTGCATTGCCATTTACATGGGATAAAGGTTGTTCACCCTTAAAGGTATTGTATGTGTGTCTTTTCTTCTTCCCTCATGCATTTCCTGCACAGAACAATTAGCAGCTGTGTGACCCTTGAAATAAACATAAAACAACGTTAGAGGGTTGAGTTCTTTCTTTTACTATTAAGACAGAGCAAAGAAACACGTAAATAATATCTGGAAATCAAGCCTCATATTGAATATAATATTTACACTGGTTGGAAATTATATGAGTCATTACTGGTAGAGAATATCAATTGAATATTTTTAAAGTGCTGTGGTAATTATTACTGACATGTACAGAGAAAATGTCCCACATATAGATTTTACCTACTTTTAAAAGAGAGTCTTTGATTCAATTGGTAAGTTATTTATAAATTTGGCAAGGTAACAAAAAGATCCCGGGCATTATTTCAGCTCCCTTACAAAATACCTACAAATGCAACACAGTAACATTGTCAGTAGAAAAACATTAATGATAAAGGATTGTATCATGAATTTTCTTGCAAGTTCAAGATGATGTTGAATTGCACGAATCACTAATAAATCAGATTAGTCCACTAGGTTATCTGAATCCACAGGACTTCTCCGATAGCGGCAAGCTACGGTTTTACATTTCTATTCAAATTAGTAGAAACACTTAGTAAGCTTTTTATCTATTATATTTCAGTCAGTATCAAGTGCCAATAGCCATGATCACAGTTCTTTTTAGTCTTATTTCTTAAAATTGCTACATTTCCTTGCTTTATCATATTTTTCAACTTAATTACTGGCATCTTGGGTCTGTAAATAAGCTTTGATAGAAAAGACACACCAGTATTATTTTGTCCATTTGAAATGATTAAAGGGTGTCACTCCCTCAGTTGGAAATTTTACTCTAAGACATCTTAATCCATTCAGAGGTTCTAAACAATTTGAAAAGCTATGTACCTTAATTTGATTGTTGCCATGAGACTGAGATTTAATCAGCTCTTATGACTTAAAATTCTTCTCAGTTTTATATTTTATTAGTTGGAGTTGAGAAAAACTTTCCTCTTTGATACTGAAAGACACGGAATTCATGTACTCTATTTCCATTCATTCCTACTTGTAACCTAATTCTTTCCTGATCTTACTTCATATAATTCCCTATCAAATGCAGCCCACATCAACTAACACACACTACTAAAGCTATTTTAACCACTTTTCTGAGAACGACAGGTTTATTAGGTAAATTATCTTATTTTCACATCTTTATCAAAAATAATTTTACCAAATATTTTGCAACTGATTAGCATTGATTATGATTCATCATTCAAAATAGTCTTTTCACTCCCTCCCACCAGAAAACTAAGCCTGTGTCACATATTTTGACATTTCCCTTTGAATATCAATTTTTGTATCTGTCAGAATAGGCTAGGATACACTACAGTAACAAACAAAAATCTCATGGCTTATCACATAAACATATATTTCATGTCCAAAGTGAGTCTGCAATGGCTGTGTTCATCAGTCTCCCAAGGACTTGGAATGATAGAGATTTAATATTAACATATGCTTTTTAAATTCCTGCAAAAAGGAGAAAGTAACATGGAAAATCATGCATAAGTTTTTAGGTTTTTCACAAGGAACTGACACAAATCACTTGGCTAGAGCAAACATAATCATGCCTAATATCAATGGAGACAGGTAAGTGCAATCTTACTATGCACACAGGGGGAGAGCCAGAAATATCTGGTGACCTACACTAATGGCATTTGAAAACAGACAGAATTAAATAACTATTTCCTTCTTTTTCTTATTACTATAATTTTGCTAATGCAATATTTATAAATAATATGAATAGAAAAGAGGTGAAATGGCAAAACAATATTGTATTCCTCAAAAAAGGCATGCACACCCAGTGTAAGATTCTCAAGTTATTAACTCAAGTTGTCAGACCAAATCACAAGTTGAAAACAATGAACAAAAAATGTAATCTCAAGATCTTTTAAAATTATTGATATGTCCTTATAGCCCTGTCTAAAACATAATGATAATCAATGATATGGAAGAATAAAATACATCAAATAATTTTCTAAACAAAGATGAGGTAGGATTGTTTCTATATAATTCTTTCAAATACTTATCATTTAGAAAACCTTCAGCTAATATATTACTATTTACACAGCATTCAATCAGTAACTTAATTACAAATATATAGCCATATTCTTTACTGTTTCATAAATAAACTACTGCACAGGGTAGTAATTGCTGGTATATATCTCTTATCTATTTCTGTTAAGATTATAATTCACATATAATGCAAAGTGTTCAACCAACTAATCTCAAATTTTTTAGGGCTCCTCACTGTGTCATCTTTATAGCTGTTAGTGGCAATAAATTACTTACTTGAATTATTAGACTTAAAAGCAATGGGACATACCATGACTACATGCAGTAAACAAATACTTAAATTTATTTCATGAAATCTTGCAGTCTTACAAACCCTGTTTGAAAATTTTCTTTAAATTCTGCAGAATTATAGTAAAATAGCAGGATCTGTATATATTGAATATAAAAGACTATGGGTTAAAATGTTTTTTAGGCAAGGGAAAGGTTTCAAAGGATAGTGCTTAATTTTTCTCAAAAATAACAGAGATAAGACTGCTCTCAAGAAGGCCAACTAGATGCATCCAGGAGGAACATCTGCCACCAAGGGTCCAGGACATTAGGAAGACTGGCACACTCTGAGCACTGTCAGTGGACAGAGGAAAGACACATAAGCTGGGCTGAAGGTGGAGGAAACTGGGAACCCTGCATGGGGCTACCATGTACTGGGACTTGCTTCTGGCCCCTGACAACTCCTGGGGAAGTGGTGAGTTGGGCAGGCAAGGAGCAACCCACCAGGCACCTCTGGAATTCTGGCAGCAGGAGACCCCATGACCCCCATGGATACCTGAGCTGGCGGGGAGAGCTGCTTAGAGAGATGGCAGAGACAGAATTCCAGCCAGTGCAGAGCCCAGAGGCCTTGGTGTGGGAGTGTCTGTAGTGAAGCCCAAGAAGGGATATCCATCCCCCTAGGCTCACCTTGCTCTCCTAGGAGACTCTAGCCCTAGGGAAACTGTTGGACCCAAACAGTGAAGGGTAGTCTTGTCCATGAGATGACACCAGTCTGACCTGAGTGCCCCACTGTCTACCAGTCTCTCCCAGGATCCCAGCCTAGATGCACCTGCTTGTAGTGCAGCCTTGGATGCTCAGCTGAGGTAACTCCCAGGTGCCTGCATCACAGTACCTACACTGATAAATCATGCCTGAGCATCAGGGAGCTCCAATAGAGCAGCCCCCAGTACCATGCACCAAATTAACTGCTCCCTCCCACCACCACAGCCTCTGCCATGCTGGTTTGCCTGTGTGCACTTGTCCATGGCTTCCCACCACATCACTTTGCCAGGGCGTGTATGCAGGAAGACTTCACCTCCTCTTCCCTGCCAGTGCGTATGTGCATGTGCGCCCCATCATGACACTGCTGCCCAACATGAGTATACCCCATACACCCTGTCCAACATGGAGGAGCACAAGGAGACTAGTAGCCCCACCCTCCTACTCTGTGCTGTTACTGCTGCTTGTGTATTATACGCACACGGAGACCACCAGCATCACACCCCCGAGTACCTCACCCCCATGTTGACACAACCTCCAGTCAAAACCTATGCACAGAGACCAGCAGCCTCACCCCTCATCCTGCACAGCTGCTACTGCCCACATGAATGAGTAAATGGAGAGTGCCAGCTCCAGGCCTGCCAACAACCCCCAAACTGACCATCACCAGCACAAATATGTGCATGGATGCTGGCAGGCTCCTACCACCCAATGAAACACTTTGGTTGGCACCACCCACTGAGTGTTGTAACCAGAGGTCTAAAAACACCTCAGCCCCTCCAGTGCAGCAGATTCCTAAACTTGAGGGGCTAGAGAACAAAGTAAGGGGTCTGATATTAGCCTCTCAGAGTTAGGGCACACAGTGCAGTAGTCCTGAGATGAGTCTTGGCTCCCTGAAATCTTCCAGAAATGAAGCCAGTTGACTAAACCCACCTTTATAGCATAATCAAACCCCCAAGGACACTAAGAGGATAAAAGAAAAAAAATTCATCCAAAAGACAGCAACTTCAAATATTGAAAGAACATTAGCCCATGAAGATGAAAAAGAACGAATGCAAAAACTCTGGCAACTCAAAAAGCCAGAGTGTCTTCTTACCTCCAAATGAAAGCACTAGTTCCTCAGCAATGGTTCTTAACTGGGCTAAAATGACAGAAGTAGAATTTGGAATATGGATAGGAATGAAGATTACTGACATTCAGCAGAAAGTCAAAACCCAATTCAAGGAATCTAAACGTTATTGTAAAATGATACAGGAGCCGATGAAATGTCCATTATAGAAGGAACCAAAGTGATCTGATAAAGCTGAAAAGCACGATACAAGAATTTCACAATGTATTCATAAGTATTAACAGCAGAATAGGCTAAGCTAAGCAAAGAATCTCAGAGCATGAGAACCTGCTCTACAAAATAATCAGACAAAAATTTTTTAAAAACTAAAGAAGAGTGAATAGGCAACCTGCAGAATAAGAGAAAAATTTTGCAGTATATCCATCTGAGAAAGGTCTAACATCTAGAATCTACAAGGAACTCAAACAAATTTACAAGGAAAACACAAACAACCCCATCAAAAAGTGAGCTGAGGATCTGAACAGACAATTCTCAAAAGAAGACATTTATGCAGCCAACAAACTTGTGAAAAAAAGCTCATCATCACTGGTCATTAGAGTAATGCAAATCAAAACCACAATGAGATATCATCTCATACCAGTTAGAATGGTGATCATTAAAAAGTCTGGAAATAACAGATGTTGGCAAGGATGTGGAGAAATAGGAACGCTTTTACACTGTTGATGGGAGTGTAAATTAGTTCAACCATTGTGGAAGACAGTGTGGCAATTCCTCAAGGATCTAGAGCCAGAAATATCATCTGACCCAGCAATCCCATTACTGGATATATACCCAAAGGATTATAAATCACTCTACTATAAAGACACATGCACACGTATGTTTATTGCAGGACCATTTACAATAG